GTGGTGCTTCTCGCTCCGCCGCACCCTCAGCCTGTCCGGGTCCTGCCTCTTCCCCCTTCCTCCCCCTTCCTCTGCCCTCCACGTAGGGCTCCCTGCTTCTGAACTCCTTTGACTTCCAGAAACCCACCGTCCCACCTCCACTCCTGACAACATAGCCCAGCTCTACCTGTGACGCTGGCAGCACTAGGGGCCTACTTTGGAACCTAATACTTAGCGCAGGCCAAGCTCTAAGTACATTTAAAGCAAGAATTTCTTAGCCTTGAGGGCTCATGGACCCTTCTGAGAACCTAAACAAAGCTATAGTCTTCTCTGGAAAAGCGCACATGCACATAGCACTGTGCTGACTTCCAGGGTTTAATGGACTCCCTAAACCTCATCCAAGCTCATGGACTCAGGTAAAGAACGTTTGATCTACAGGGAAGGATCTCCAGCCCTGGCCCCAGAACACTGTTTAACCATGAGCCTTCTGGAAGAAGATGGGGTGAGAAAAAGGATGGTAGCTAGAGGGGTTTAGGGATAGTTTCCATGTTTCCAACAACACATAATAAAAAACTGCAGAAGGCATTCAGCTTAAAACTCTGAAAATCAGGTTCTGAGTTTGCAACAATCTTAAGTCTCTGCCATACTTCATACAAGATCGAGTCAGGATTGAGCTGTGTCAGGAGTCCGGGTTTAGTCACACCAGCAGCAGGCACGCATGTGCAAAAGAGCCAAGAGGCCTCGGTTGGCTCAGGAGAAGCTGAGATTTTCCCAGGGGAGTGCCCGATGGGCGGGGCCAAAGGGCCTCCCGCAGAATTTCCAGGAATCTCTCAAGCAGTTTTATTAGAGCCCTTTCCATCACAGTGAGACTCCCCAAAACTTACCCTGCCCTCAAAGCCATACCCCCCCTGATCCCTCCAGCTCCTGCGGCCTTCTAGAAGTATCCTTTAAAAACACTGGGAACTTGCCCTCCCAGCTCTAGGCTTCCTTCCGCTGGCATCAGACCTCCAACCTTTCTCTCACAGGTGTACACACAACCCCTGCTGGAGACTGGGACTGTTGGGATTCAAATCTGCTCATCAGGCAAGGGCTGGGGACCCTACATCAGAGGGTGCAACGGTTCCTTAAATGACCTAACAGCGCTGGTCCATGCCATGGGCCTCCCTACAGGTGAGGTTCCACTCTACTAAAAGGGCTCACTGGGTGTGTAGAGTTATCCAACTGTCCTTGGAGATGGTGTGGCAGGTCACACCCAAATGATACCGAATTCTAGATTTTGGAAAAACAAATCCAAAGACTGGTGTCCGCTGTCTCTGGGCTGTTTTGGTGGCTGTCCTGTTCACTTTGACCTCCAGGGATGACGAAACACACTAGAGCTGGGTGCCTCCCTGGCCACACTGACTGTTCTCCCAAATTCAGAGGTGACAGGTGCTGCCTTTCTCCTGCATTCAGTTTTGCTTCTGCATCCTCACTCTGCCAGGCCTTGGCTGCAATGCACAGCTGGAGAGCCAGCCCATTTGCCACAAGAAAACTTGCTTTGGCCAGGATCTTGGGCCTTGTTCTGCTGTCCCAAGCAGTTTTAAAGAAGGTGAGGCGGGACGGCCTGGAAGCACTGGCCAAGCCAAGCAGACCAACGGAGCCCCATCTGGAGTGGGGTCCGAGCCCTGCCAGCTGTGCAGGGGGGTGGGGCTGGGAAACGCCGAGTCAGCCATATTCCACACTTTGCCTTACAAGGCCATCAACAAGTAACCACGCTAGGCAGGAAGGAGGAAGCCACAGTACAGATGGTCTCTCCTTGGGGGGCCGCATGAGGGGCCAGAAGGCTCACGCAGCCCATCCCACCTCCCCGGAAAGTTCACGTTTTCTGGGGCGAGATGGAAAAAGGAGAGGGCTCCCCTGCTTGAGAAGACTGCCAGCTGGGATCTCAGAACTTTTCCTTTGGGTCTGATGAATGCTAATGGGTGCCATGGGAGGGCTGATCTCAGGAGGAGCTCACCTCCTAGAGCCCTGGAAGGAAGGAGCATGAGGATGATTCAATCATCCTGCAAACTTTCATTGAGAACTGGTATCCTTGAATGATACTTGCAGGCTGCCCCTCCCATGTACTAACCACGGATGTTTCTATGGACACCCTGTTCTACTTTGCCTATTCTTAGATTTGGGCAGGACCGCTCACCCCCCCCCCCCCCCCCCCCCCCCGTCCCCCAAATGAGGCTGGAAGCCCAGAAAAGGAAGCAGACATCTCCCTCCATGCCATGTCCGATCACTAATAAGTCTTCAAATCTGATTACTTTCACTGCTAAAGCTTCAGAAAACCATCCCTTCCCCCATAGCTGTAGTGGGGCTCCCCCTCGCCTATCGCTCTGATGATGGCTGGAATCCTCCCAGCCCGTCTTGCTCTCTTCCCATCCAGCTTCCCTATGGCCTTCGGGATGATTCTTCAAAAATGCTCATGGGGCACCTGGGTGGCTCAGTCGGTTAAGCGTCCGACTTTGGCTAAGGTCATAACCTCACCGTTTGTGAGTTCGAGCCCCATGTCAGGCTCTGTGCTGACAGCTCAGAGCCTGGAGCCTGCTTCAGATTCTGTGTCTCCCTCTCTCTCTGTTCTTCCCCCACTTGTACTCTCTCTCTCTCTCAAAAATAAATAAACATTAAAAAAAAAAGCTCACCTAATCATGGGCATCGTCCTGCACTTGGTGTGAATCACAAGGCCTGGCATGATCTGGTCTCTGCCCCAATCCACAGCCCCACCTTCTGCCTGCCTCCCAGATTTAAGGCACACTTCTTACAACTCCTTGCACAGGCCCTGCCTCAT